ACATCCAGGTTGGCGGCCGGCCCAAGCGAGGGGCTGACATGGCGGTCCTAGCAGCGCGCCTCTTCACAGAGAGAAGCCAGGCCCAAGGGAAGTGCTCCATGATCAGCTGCTACGACTTAAAGGAGGCCTTCTACTCGGTTGTCGTCCAGCTGGTCCACGGCATCCCAGGCGAGGAGGACGAAGTCAAGGAGGTGCTGGACAACCTAGAAGTTCCCCTATGGGCCCAGCCACAATTGGAGCACCTCATGGCCAACCCAGGGATACTCGACACAGTGTTGGACGGCTCCCACCTGGCTGCCCTCATTGCAGAAGGGTATCGCAACAGGTGGACATCGCACAGGTTCTCCCAGAACTTCATGGCGCCGCACAAGGGCACGAGGCCTGGCGTGCCCCTAGCCGACGCGGACTTCAATCTGCTCTTCGGCCGAGTCCACCGCAAGATTGACAGCTACCTTGCGCAGCGAGGGCTAAGAGCCCAGGGCAAGCCCCTAGAGAGCAGCTTCGCATGCGACACCGACCCCACAGACGGACCACTCCAGGAGCACGAACCTCACGGCCTATCGTTTGTCGACGACCTCACGGGCATGCACGTGTTCACCAGCCCCGATCACATTCAGTCCGAGGCCACGGGGTTCTGCGAAGCCGTCTACTGCGCCACCAGCACCTTCGGCCTCCAGCTGCAGCTCAACAAGACCAAGGTGATGATCGACTTCAGTGGGCCTGGGAGCCGGCAAGCTCGGGCCAGCTTCTATTCCAATGGAGTGCCGAGGATCGAGGTCCCTCTCGCAGAGAGCCACGTCGAGGTGGTCCGCCACCACAAGCTCGTCGGGACCTACGTAACCGACATTTCATCCCCTGGGGTGGATGTCGCAGTGAAGGTAGCCACCGCTGCGACATCCACGAGGCCTCTCCATCGCGAAGTCCACCGTCGCTCAGAGCTGGCCATCAAAGACAAGGCCTACCTAGCCGACAGTGTGGTGCTATCCCAGCTGCTATACAATGCGTCTACCGGGCCAGAACTCACAGCAGGCCAGGCCAGGAATTTCAACAACCAGTATATCGTGAACTACGCTGCCGCGCAGAGGATCACTTGGAAAGTACGACAGAAGAAAGAGGTCACGAACACCCAGATCCTCGAAGGGGTCGACAAGCTGCCCCCCGAGATAGTCCTACGTCTTGAGCGGCTACGACTATTCGGTAGGTGCCTCAACTGGGGACCCCTGCACCTCCGCCGGCTACTCAGCCAAGCATGGGACGGGAGTTACGGCTGGGTGGCACTGCTCCGCCGCGACTTAGACTGGGTCCGCGACCACACAGGACCTGACGAGCGTGGTGGAGCATACACGCTCGAAGACTGGAAGGACTGGACCAGGAACGACTACAAAAGCTACCTCAGCGCAGTCAAGAAAGCTTGCCAACGTGGCAAAGCCCGCCAGTACGATCACGACCACCACGCTCGATGGCGGCTACGACTTCAGCGGTGGACCAACACGGAAGCCATCTCGCCCTTCCCAGACCAGCACTTCGAGCAGCAGCGCAAGTACCTATGCTACCACTGCGGACGTACTGAACTCAGCGCAGCAGTGATACGAGCCCACATCACCAAGGACCACACCTCGTCGGGGCATCCTATCTCGTGGGCAACTGGTTCGGTCTGCTACGGATGCGGCATGGACTACCACACCACAAACAGGCTGGTCAAGCACTTGCTGCGCGTGCGCAGGTGTGCTCGACACTGGCGAAAAACACGTCCAGCACTCCTCAGCAAAGCCGAGCTGCAGCACAACCAGCAAGTGGTGCGCGACCAGCAGCAGGCGAACAGAAGGGCCGGCAGGCCCATCGACTGGGCAGAGAAGCCTGCAGTCCCTGCTCGTCCTCCAGAAATACACACGGACGAGGACAGCGACGACAGCAATGGCGGCCACTACGAGAGCCTCGAGCTCCCCTTCATCGAGGAGCCACCGCCGCCGCCAGCGGCTGTACCCAGGCCCAGGCCAGCTCGGACTCTATACGTGCTGCATCTGTTCAGCGGCCGTCGCCGAGAGGGAGACGTTCAGGATTGGTTCGACCGTACCAGCAGTCGGGCTTCATGCGACATACACATGCTCAGCCTGGACATCGCCAACGACCCGACCTTCGGCGACCTGACATCAGAAGTCGCAGTCAACAAGTGGCGAGGCATGGCACACGCAATGAGGATTGCAGGAGTCATCGGCGGACCGCCGTGCGAGACCTGGAGCCGAGCGCGCCACCTGCCCCCCAATGACTGCAGGGGTCGCCCACCAAGACCCCTAAGGAGCAGCAACAGCTTGCGGGGCCTTCGCTACCTTTCCCGTCCAGAGATGGAACAAGTAGCGATAGGCAATCGCCTATACAGGACACAGCTGGAGCTCATGTACATGTGCCTCAACCTTGGAGTCCCAGGCATGCTCGAGCACCCGTGCGAGCCCACCGAGGAGCACTTCGCCACCTCCTGGGGGCTCCCCGAGACGCGCCACCCCCTTGGGCCAGCAGGGAGTCGAGCTGATCACATTCGACCAGTGCACCTGTGGAGCGCGTTCGAGGAAGTCCACAAGCCTGCTGGCGGTATCCCTCCCAACTCCCCGAGCGGAAATCAGCAGATTGCCTGGGGGCGGGAGGCGCTTCCACACGGCCTCCTACCACGCGGAGCTGGCGGGCATCAACGACGACGGCCAGTGGCGCACCGCGGCGGCCAAGGAGTACCCGAACAGGTTGTGCCAGGCCATCGCGACTGCACTGGTGAAGCAGATAAGGTGGCGCTTTGGCGAGTCGCCTAGCGACGTCCACGGATGGCACATCGACGACGACGTGGCCCACTTCTTCCAGCCGCTCGACCGCTACAAGACCAGGGAGATGGGTCAGGACTACCACCGTGGCCTAGCGAAGCGAGGGAGCGCCCCGACCTGGTTGGAGGAGGCGAGGGAGTGGGCCCTACAGGACCGACCCGACAAGGCAATGGGCAGGACCACCAACTCGACGGGAGCTGTTCGAGCACAGGCTGACGATGCGGATCGCGACGAAGAGCCCTGACGACAAGTACAAAAGTGCCAGGACGCAAGTCCTGAGGAAGCCCCGAGTGCGAGGGAACACCTCAGGCTACGTCGCCAAGTTTTGCACGAGTTGTCAGGACGCAAGTCCTGGGGAAGCCCCGAATGCGAGGGAACACCCCAGGCACACGTCGCCACGTTTCGCAGCAGTGATGGACACGGCCGCCGTACAGCCAGGGCTCAGAGGTACCAGCCAGACCATATGCCAACTACACCAAGTACAAGCCAACGCTGCCCTGGCGAGGCAAAGATCAAACTTCGAGACGGGCTCGAAGGGCGGGGGGGCAGGACGAGCACTGCCCGCGCCTACCAGGGGGGATGGTGAGGGGCAGGGGAGGGGGGGGGGTAGGACGCAACTACCCGCGCCCCCGCGGTCCGCCCAAGCTCGCCACCCCCACCATTCCCATGGCGGAGATGGAGCTCCCGAGCGCCCAAGGGCGAAGCATAGGGCAGCCGAGACCTTCCCCATCGACAACAGAAGAATCACTGGGCCTGGGGTTCGCCCCCACCGAGGGCACTGCGACCCCTAGCCATAGCGGGACGAGGTGGGGCCGCCAGAAAGTCGGTGCATGGAGGCCTGAGTGCGCATACAACCTATTCCACCTACCAGCAACAAGCCGACCCCCAACGACCCGTAACCAGAACGACAAGTACCTCAGCGTCTGAGTCGAGCACCAGGAGCCTGAGCCCCACACAGTCAAGCAGTTCCACTCGACCAGCGCGACCGAGCCCAGTAGCAAGAGCCTACCATCACCAAGCCAAACGACAACTGGATCAGCGATGCCGAGTTGAATGGAGTTGAATGGAAAAAGGTTCCTCATACCGCGCCAAGTACTACCACTTCGACCAGCACGACGGTGCCGAGCACCACAGGGCCGAGGGCCAGCCAGTCAGCCACCGCTTCAACCATGTTGATTGGCCCGAGCACCACAAGCTGGCATCACAGTCACAAAGTATTGCGAGGACCAGCACTACCGAGTCTAGGACAACAGCTAGTGCTACTTGGTCAAGACATACCTGGATGACTAGTGACTGGGACGAAGGCCACAGGGTTGGGCACAGCAGAGTTAACCAACAACTTCGACCAGCATGGCTGAGTCGAGTACCACAAGCTCGAGGGCAACATAATCATGCTGTACTACAAGACCGAGGGCCATCACGTGGCCCATTGAGTTGGACGAGAAGTCCTCGTCCAGTACCACCAGATCGACGAGTACTGAGAGTGCGAGGCTCTCGAGGCTCGGCGAGAGCGCAGCCGACGACGCCTGAGGGGGCCGAGTCGTCGGAGTCCCGAGGGACATAATTTGGTGCCACCCCATTACCCCCAGCCGCTTCCTTTTCCATTTATGTTTCCTGGTTCGGGCCTTGTGCTCGTGGGGGTAATGGGGTTGGCACGCCAGGCGCCCCTGGCCCACCGAGCTCCAAGGCCTGTGCACTGCCGCCCAGGACAGGCACGCAGCTGGCCAGGCTGCTACCCTGGGCGGCAGCGCATCGGGCCAGAGGGCGAGTCGCAGGCCATTGGACCCCGCTCCTTCTTCTTGGGGCCCCCGCAGGCCCGTCTCCTTCCTCCTTGGTGCCTGGCCTTTTGCCTTGTTGGGGCCTCGCCCCCCCGCTCTTCCTCTGCCCCGAGAGATCCTGGAGGCCCCTTCCTCTCCCCTGGGCGCCCCCCCCCCCGGCGCCGAAGGCGCCCGCGTGTCAGCCGCGTGCGCGGCTAGGCTCGGGCGCGGAGGCGCCTTGGTCGGCGGCAGCTGCCGCCGTGTTGCGCTTCAGGAATCAAACCCTTCAAGGCGCTGCAAAAAGCGGAAAATAGCGGAGGGGGAGGAGGAGGAGGGGGAGGAGGAGGGGGAGGACGAGGACGAGGAGGAGGAGGAGGAGGAGGAGGCGAAGGAGGGGCAGGAGGAGGAGGAGGAGGAGACCCCTCCCCAAGGTCGCGTTGTTAGGCGGCAGAGGGCCCTCTCCCAGGTCCTCTAGCTCTTCCGCCGTAAGCGACGCCTCCTTCGGGCGGGGGCCGACGCGGGCGGCGCCCTCTTGCTGCACGTCCCCCTCCCTCCCTCCCTGCCTCCATTCATCCCCTGTCCTCCTCCTCCTCCTCCTCCTCCTCCTCCTCCTCCTCCTCCTCCCCTCCTCCTCCCCTCCTCCTCCTCCTCCTCTTCCTCTTGTTTCTCCTCCTCCTCCTCCTCCTCCTCCTCCTCCTCCTCCTCCTCCTCCTCCTCCTCCTCCTCCTCCTCCCCTCCTGATTATGATCATTGGTTTTACGATTCGTAGCATTAGCAAGAATACTATTATGATTACGCGTAATAGTTGTCAGGTTCGTCATCTTATCCGTCTTATTAGTATCAGGATTACGATTACTAAAACTGGTATCAGTTAAATTTCTCGTAGTATCATTCATCGTAGACATCTCAATAAGAGTATGCTTAGACTACGCCGTGACAGCATGTTTGCTATTACTAGGTGTCAGCTGTTTTCTTCTTACCTATGTTAGTGATAGTGCTCGTCCTACTGATCGTAGTGTTGATGTGCGGATGGTTGTTGCTGTTGTTCTTATTGCCACGATTCTTCTTCTCAGTACGAATACTCATCGTATTATTCATAGCAATACAAGTAGTAGTCCTCATCCTCCTCAGCCTCCCTACTGTTTTGGTGTTCGTTCATATTTAAAAGAACTCTCCCCTTGGACTCCGGCCAAACGCGCGCTCCCTGCGGAAGACCCGGTTGCAAAGATGTTTCACGTCCAGACGGCTCCAAGACGTCCACGATGCCTCCAAGACGGCCCTGGAGCACCCCAAGAGGACCCCAGGTCAGCACAAAGAGACCCCCAAGACGGCTCCCGACGGTGTCAGACGGGCCAGGAATGCTCTGAAACGGCCGAAGAGGCCCCCGAGAAACCCCCAACGGCCCCCAAGAGGCCCAAGGAGGCTCCCACGATGCCTCCAAGAGGCTCTCAGAAGCTTCCCGGAGGCCCCAAGAGTACCCCCAGAGGCTCCCAAGATGCACCCTCCTCCTCCTCATCTTGATCTTCCACGCCATCCTCCCCCTAAGTGTTCCCATAACGGCTGGGGTAACACCTGGTCCGATAGCTTGGCAGAGTTTTTGCCACAACGCTCGGCCACATGGGTGATTCCAAAAGGCAGGGGGCGGCGGTGATTCGCCGCAGGCGTCTTCGATAACAATGAACTTGAACAGATGTAACAGATGCACACTTGGATGGCGAGTCCTTTTCAAAATGGTGCTCTCGCTTGAGACTTCATCCCGATTCACGACTAAAGTGCAAACTTGTGCGGTAGTTGCACACATAGTTTCACACATGGAGGAAGGTCCTGTCTCCAACGGAGGGTATTGCTGGACACCCGCTGAACTATACGATCGTACCTTTTCGTGTTTCGTACTACGTATTCGCTAGAAGGATGAGTGGCAGCTACTTTTTCAAAACTGTGACCTCGTCTGAGTGACAGACTCATAGGGTTAGGTCGGGCATGTCCCCCTACAGGGGGATTTCGGACGACCAAATTTTAAAATAAAATAATCAGAACATACTCCAAAAATGATCAAAAATAGTCGAAACATCGTCCCCAAAGATTTTTCTGTTATTGAATATTACTCCTGCAGAGGGACAGGCCCGACTTAATCATAGGGTGCTGCTCTTTCAAGGGGGCTCTTGCAGTGAACATGTAGGAGGCCTGCAGGGCCTTGTGGAGAGGGGCCTTCGGACGGGAGAGTGCCTTGCGGCATCGTTGACGCATCCTGGTTTTGCTCTCCTCCTCTAACTCTTCCTCCTCATCTTCCTCCTCCTCCTCCGCCGCCACCTCCTCCGCCTCCTCCCCCTCCGCCTCCTGCTCTTCCTCCGCCTCCTCTTCCCCCTCCTCATCTTCCTCCTGCTCCGCCTCCTCCTCCTCCTCTCCCCAGTAGCTCTTTTGGCTTAAGCCACGCTGTCGCGAGAGCCAGGCTGCGCCATGGCATCGTTCGCCGATGCGCTTGGAGAAGCCCGTCGTCTGCCAGCCCGGCGATCCGTGCAGGAATGGCTCGTGCAGGAGGCGGTGTGCACGGCAGATGCGGCTGCCGTGCATGGGGGAACAAAAAGTGACATAAACATAAAACTCGGAGGTCCGCGCGGATTTCTCGGATCCGCGCTGGGGCCCCCCGGCGGCGCCTCTGGCGCCGCCCCTGGCGCGCGCCGCGCGCCAGAGGGAGGGGGGTCCAGCGCCGATCCGAGAAATCCGCGCGGACCTCCGCATTGTCATGCTTATGTGGCTTTTGGTTCCCCTAGTGCATGGCCATCCCGCGCTCCGACGCCTGCTGAGCCGAGGAGAGAAGGATGACGACGTGCTCACGCCAAGGGAGAAGCTTATGCGTGGGGAGTGGGCGACTCCAGAGCTGCCGCCGGCTGCCTCCCCCGCCGCGCTGCGCGGCGCGCCGCTCCAGAGGAGGAGGAGGAGGAGGAGGAGGAGAGAAGAGGGAGGAGGAGGAGGAGGAGGAGGAGGGGGAGGAGGGGAGGAGGAGGAGGAGAGGGGAGGAGGAGGGAGTAGGGGGGAGGAGGAGGAGGAGGAGGAGGAGGAGGAGGAGGAGGAGGCCGAGAGAGGGTGCGCGACGAGGGCCGACGAGCGCCCGGAGGGGCGGGCGACCTGCGCGGCCCATCCGGGAGGGCGAGGACGTTGCCGTCGGCGTGTGCGAGGCAGCAAAGGGCACCATCGCCACCGGCGATGTCCGCTCCAACAGCGAGACTTGAACCAAGGGGATGCAGATCGCCCGGATGGGACTCCAGGATCTTCTGCTGATCGTCATGCTGGCGGCATTCCGGAACCGCGGGCGCAGGATTTCGCAGCCGACAGGGAGAAGTGTTCACTGACTCGAAGGCGAAGTACGACGGCTTGAAACAGAAGAAGAGCTGAAAAGGGGATTCCTTGCGCGCAGTGTTACAATGCTACCGGGAGGCCAGAGCTCGGACAAGTCCAGAGGAGGCGAACGAGAAGGACGAGACAGTCGAGAGGGCGCTCCTGGACGAGGGAGCTCATCGGCATCTGCAAGACTGGTCTGCACGACTCCCCCCGACCTGTCGGCCGACATGGAGGACATGATGAAGGCCCTGGAAACTGAGATCTACGGCAAGACCGAGAAGCTCGAGACGTGCCTGGGCAAACGTGCAAACCGATCGAGAAGCGCGTGGACGCCGTACAGTTCACGCTAGCGGAAAACGAGGACCTGGTGAAGTCCGTGCAGGGCGACCTTGACGGCGTGAAGGCCGAGGCGCAGGAGTGGCCGAGCCCGGCGGCATCGGTGCAGTGCCAGCTCGAGCGCGTGGACGGCAACGCCCCTTTGGTCGTGAAGCGTGTGGACGCCCTGCAATCCGACGAGCAGGAGCAACGGGAAGGCGTGCTCAAGGCGCAGGGGAAGCTGGACTTGGAGTGCGAAGCGCCGGTCACCGTGGAGCAGACCGCCGAGGAGATCAAGGAGAGCTTGAAGCCCACCACCTTCCGCCGTCGAGCTCGACCGTCTGCGACAGGGCGCAGCTGACCTCCTGATGAAAATCTACGGCGAAAAGGTGGTGGTGCTCCGAGTGCCAGCGCCTGCCGTGAGCGATCGAATCCGAGCCGCCCATCACTCCACACGGAGGCAAAGGAGGGCGGCCGGCAGGCCTGGAAGCGAAGGCTGTGCCAGGTCGAGCTTTCTCTTGTGAGGGGAAGGATGAGAGCGGCCAACACGATTCAACAGCTGGCGGTAAAATACGGATGCCGCCACACACACACACACACACACCTCACGCCTGGTTAAAGTCGAAGTGGTGCGGCCAGGAAGGTTTCATTTGAAAGTCGTCAACTTCCTCACCCAGCGTGCGGAACAGACGCGCGCAACGCCGAGGGAGAGGAGGAGGAGAAGGAGGAGGAGGAGGAGGAGGAAGAGGACGACGACGACGACGACGACGACGACGACGACGACGACAACGACGAGGAGTGAGCTACATCAGGGACCAGCCTCAAATCGAGGATAGGCTGGTACGCCAGTGATTGACCTGCTACCTGTCGCAGGCGCCGGCCGAACTGGCCGAGTCTTGCCCCCTGCGGCAAACAGAAACAAACAGATCCGAGGAAGTGGGGGAGGGGGAGGAGGAAGAGAAGGAGAAGGAGGGAGAACGCCGAAGAGACAGCGAGGGCTCAAAATCCGAACTCAGGGCGAGCACTACAATTCCCATGCGCGGCCGCCGTGTCGGGCCCCTCGTGCCAAGTCGACTTTGAGCCTGGACTGTGAGTCGTTCCTTGTGGCGGGTCTCACAGGCTAGCGTTGGTGATCGCGAGGTCCCCGCCCCTCTGGTGGGCTCTTGGGGCACCACCCCCGTGTTTCCGAAGCAGGCTCGTGAAACCCTGTTGCCCCGGTGTGCTCCTTCTCCTCCGCCCTGCGTCTCCTCCTAAGGCCCCCCTCCCCGCGCGCCAGGGTGCTACCGCGACGCCCGCGGCCGCCAACGACCAGAGGCCCTCCCCGCCCCGTACCCTCTCCCCCAACCGTTCGGCTCCACCTCCCTCCCGAGGGGCCACGCTAAGGGGGGAACGGGCTGAGGAGGGGAAACATCGAACCGAAATCGGAGATGCATCGCCGACGTACCGGCGACAGGCCCCTGATGGCGAATCCGAACGTTGGGGCTGTGGGGCCCCCATCGGCGATCAATGGACGGTTGGGGGTCGATGCATCCCCCCCTGAGCCTACCCCTTGGTGGCCGTCGGGTCATGTGTATCTTGGGCGTCCGGCAGCCGCTCGGGACGATCAGGGGAGCCCCCCGGAGCTCCGTCGGTGAGGCGCAGCCGCTGGATAGCATCCCGAGGCGACCGAAAATGCCGAACCTGCAAGCCCCCCGAGCCTGTCCCTCCCCGAGCCCATCCGCCCAAACGTTGCCCCTGAATTTCGCACGGCCTTGGGCGCCAGACCTCGCAGCCAGGGCTCCTGAAAAGGGTCGTCCTCGGACTGCTCCCAGTGGCTGAAGGCGCAGTGCAGGGACACGTTCCCCGACGCCGCCTGCCGCAGGTCCTGGCGCTGGGCGGGCTGCTCCAAGGGGCGCCCTCCTGCCTCCGGCAGGAAGAGGCAGGGTTCTCCTCCCCCTCACCCCTCCCCCCTCCCCCTCCCCCTCCCCCTCCCCCTCCCCAACTCCCCCTCGCCCCTTCCCACCTTCACACCTTCCCCTCTCACCTTCATCCCTCCCCTCCCCCTCACCCCTCCCCTCCCCCGCCCCCTCCCCCTCCCCCTCCACCCTCCCCCTCACCCTCCCCTCCCCCTTCCCCCTCTCACCCCCCCCCCCCTCCCCCTCCCCCATCCCCCTCCCCCTCCCCTCCCCTCTCACCCCTCCCCCTCCCCTTCCCCTCCCCCTCCCCACTCCCCCTCGCCCCTCCTCCTCCACCTCCTCTCCTCCTCTCTCCTCCTACCTCCTCCTCCTCCATCCTCCCCTCCTCTCCTCCTCCTCCTCCTCCCCTCCTCCTTCCTCCTCCTCCGCCTCCGCCATCCGCCTCCGCCTCCGCCTCCGCCTCCTTCCCCTCCTCCTCCTCCTCCATTCCTCCTCCTCCTCCTCCTCCTCCTCCTCCTCTCCGTCCTCCTCCTCCTCCCCCCTACCTCCTCCTACCTTCCCCTCCTCCTCCTGCCTCGCTCCTCCTCCTTCTCCCCCCCCCACTCCGCTCCTCCTCCCCCCCCCCTCCTCCTCCGCCTCCTCATCGCCCCTCCCCCTCCCCCCCCTCCCTCCTTTCCTCTCCTCCCCTTCCTCCTCCTCCTCCTCCTCCCCTCCTCCTCCTCCTCCTTCCTCCTACCTCCTCCCCTCCCTCCTCCTCCTCCTCCTCCTCCTCCTCCTCCTCCTCCGCCTCCTCCTCCTCCTCCCCCTCCTCCTCAGAACCTTCCTCCTCTCCTCCTCTCATCCATCCTCCTCCTCCTCCTCCATCTCCATCTCCACCTCCACCTCCACCTCCACCTCCACCTCCTCCTCCTCCTCCTCTTCCTCCTCTTCCTCCTCCTCCGCCTCCTCCTCCTCCTCCTCCTTCTCCTCCTCCCTCCACGTCCCGCCAGAGGCGTGGGGCACGGGGACTGCGAACGTCCAGTCTGGACTCGACGGCCCGAGCGGAAGGGCATGGGCAGCGCCAGCCTCGAAGGACCTCGGAGGAGGCCTCGCGCAACTGCGCCGAGTGGGTCAGCTCGGTGGGGCCCATCATGCAGCATGCCACGAAGGTCGACCAGAGACTTTGGCCTCGCCATCAAGGGCGGGCTGCAGAGGTGCAGCTCACATGGGCGAGGCTCCAGCCAACGCCAGGACGCACCCACACGAGGCATCCAGTCACGGAATGGCGGTGGCCGCTCGAGGCCACTGCCGTCAGACCCCGAGCCCTACGTCGACGTGAAGATGAGGAGCCGCAGCAGCATGACTGCTGCGCAGCCCTTGGACAGATGATGGACGAGAGCGACAGGCTCCATCAGCCAAGGGACCTCATGTTCTGCAAGCACGCCACCATCAACGACGTGGCGCTCTGGGTCGAGTGGGCGAGGAGCGCCGTCGGCATCGACTATACTGCCGAGGACTTCGAGCAGGCTGCCGAGGACACCAACCGCTGGGTCCAGCGCGCTTCCTCGCGCAGCCTAGCGGCCGCGGGATGTGGCTTTGTCAAGTGGGCTCAGGGCAGCTGGAGGTCAAAGCCAAGAAGGGTGCACAAAATCGTCACGGAAACAATGTTGATTTGGGTCCCGCCTCGGACACGAGCCAGGCAGTGAGGGAGAAAGCACAGCAATGGGAGCCGCGATAGCGGTGGGAGCCGCGATAGCCGTGGGAGCCGCGATCGCGCGAGGGCCTGCTTCGTGGCACGGCTGGTGGGGGCCGCTGCGGCTGCGGAGCCCCTCCCGACGCTGGAGATCCAGCAGGTCGATGCTCTCATCCAGCGGCTGCCAGGGTCAGAGGCGGAGGGCTGTGACCAGATCGGCCCGCTCGACATCCAGCGACTGCATTCGGCAGGACGTTTGCAGCTTGTTCAGCTGCTCATTTCCATGGAGCGCGCTGGCACTTCGCCGATGCAGCTGTTGCTCACGATCTGTTGCACCATACCTAAAGCCAGTCATGGCGACAGAGTCTTCGGCATTTTGCCGACAGCGGCCAGCATGAGGTCACGCACACATAACAACATCACTGAAAAACCCTAAAATGGCCCAAGAGAGCCCCCAGGGGGACCCAAGAGGCCCCAAAGACGTCCCCCAGAGCGTCCAAGAGCGATTTCGAGGACCCCAGAGGGGGGAGAGGGGGGGCTCCACGTCAGGACCCCTCCCTCTCTTTTCACCCACGTCTTCCACGATAGGCCCAAGAGGCCCTCCAGGGCTCCGACGAGGCCCCCAAGAGAGCTCCAAGAGAGCCCCAAAAGGACCCCAAGAGGGCCCCGAGACCCCGAAAAGAGCTTCAAGAGGAGCCCAAGACCCCTCAAAAGGGCTCCAAAGCGGGCGCAGAGGTAGCCCCAAGGGGACCCCAAGAGGGCTCACGACTGCGCTGCTACCCCGCACGCGCTAGCATGAGTCCACCACGGTTGCCCGATCTGATACACTAGATGTACAGTCAACCTGTACAGTAAGGATGCGCGATAAGGATGCCAGGGCCTTGGACGCCCGGTTCGAAGCTTTTCGAGCGGGGCGCGGCCAATGAAAGTGGCGAAGGATGGACCGAGGAGGCAAGAATGCAAGGGTGCCCTGGGAAGGCTGCCCATCCTTACTATGCTGGTTGACTGTATCTCGTCCTCCCATTCCCCGTCAGCTCTTCAACGGGCGGCGCTTCTGAATGGGCCGCTGGGGAGACGCGAAACGTGCAGAACGTCGTTCCCCCTCAGGTCTTGGCGGGCAGCCCGCAGCTCCCCTCTCAGGCTCAGGGGGGCCTGCCTCCAGCGACCCTCTCCTCTGCTGCGCTTTCGGACGGAGGCGGGTGAGGTTGGGCTTGGACGGTGGGGGATGGGAACGACCAAGAGAGACCGCTCTCGGCCGACGTCACGGCCATGGGCCAGTCCTCCGAGTCCACGCTCGCCGTTCCTGGAGACGGCTCAGGAGAGGAACACAGCAGCGACGCCCGCAGACGACACGTTGGGTCGGCCGCAGTCGTGATGCGATGCACCGTCCTCCCCGCGACCTCTTAGGGGTGTGCGGGAGTGCTCCTCCTCCTCCTCCTCCTCCTCCTCCTCCTCCTCCTCCTCCTCCTCCTCCTCCTCCTCCTCCTCCTCCTCCTCCTCCTCCTACGCAGGAGGAGCCAGGGGGAGAAGCAGACACGACGGAGGAGGGCGGGAGAAGAGATGAAGAAGGTCGCGAACACAGCCAACGCCCCCCAAGAGCACCACCTGGAGAACCAGAGATGAAATGGCAGGGAAGAGAGGAATGAGGGGGAGGGCGAAGAGAGAGGGTGCTCTCGGGTGGAAATCGGCGGCATCGGCGGCCCCGTGGGTCCCCTCGAGCCATAGCGACTGGAGCCAAAAGGCGGTACGGTCACACACACACACATATATATATATATATACACACACTGTCGCACACACACACACACACACACACACACACACACACACACAAGCACACACACACTCACACACACACACACACACACACACACACTTGCGGCCCTGCGCGCAGCGACAGAACGTAGAAGGTCGAAAAGCAGCACCCGCGCGCGCGGGTCCAAGCTCGCCCGAGCCCTTCGGGACCACTTGGGGGCCCGCAGCCGCCAGCAGCCAGAACCACACGCGCGCGCGCGCCACGCGCCACGCGGCCGCACACACACACACACACACACACACGTGCGGCCTCGCGGTCGCGGCCTCGCGCGCAGCGTCGAGGCGGAGAAAGACACACCCGCACGCACACACTAACACGCACGACATACACACGCACACGCACACACTCACACACACACACACACTTTTTGGCGTGGCGGCCCCGCGCGCAGAGACAGAGAGTAGAAGGTTGGAAAACAGCAAATCGCGAGCGCGCGCGTCTGAGCACGCCCCGGCACTCATAGACCACTTAGGGGCACACACACGCACACTGGGATGACACACTTCCACAGGATCATCGGGAGGACCCAGACATCCGGCGCTCCGTTTTTGTTCGATGCGTGGGCCCCTTGACCTTTTGACTCCTTCCCCAAGGCCGTAAGGACGGCTTTTCACACCGATTCTTCAACTGCCCCATGGCCCAGAACAAAACTCCAGGCGACCATGAAACGCCGACGAAGCGGGCGTCTCAATTTCTCCGAAGCGCCTGGTGTCTGGGGATGAGGAAGAGACGGAGCGAATGCAACGGCAGGGGCAAGATCAGTCAGCATCGAACCGTAAAATCGGATCGGATCGGAATGTGCTTCGAATCGGGCCGCATCGGCACGGAGCCGAAGTCGAATCGAGCCGGCCGCGCAAGGATGCAATGCATCGCCATCCAAGCATCGGGCCGCATCTGACCGCTGGCCAGAGCATCGGCATCGAATCGGCTGGGCAGGCAGGAATCAACATCATAGATTACGAGGCAACTCCAGGGAGGACTTCGTCAGAACGACTGAGGATTAAGGGCTATTCAACCGTTGACGGAGCCATTGAGCCGGATCAGGCCGGAGTACGCCCGGGAGCAAGCAGGATTGAGCGGGATGAAGCCGGACTGAGCGAGACTAAGCTGGATCAAGCGGGATCCCGTCAGATTGGGACAGTTTTCGACCAGTGGTACACAAGCCCCGACTCTGAATCTAACATCCCTGGAGCTGCATCCCACAGCCCGGAACTTCGCTTCGCGTGTTGCGATGTCGGCCCCAGCGACGCGCCGTGCCCTGCGAGCGGATAGCGTAGGCTCGGAGAGGCTCGGGACCTCGACGCGTGGATCGGGTCGGGCGAAAGGGGGGGACAGTCTGAGAATCAGCCCACGCAGCTGGTTCTCCCGGCGACTCCCGGCGCCGGGAGGCGCCCACGTA